CTCAGGGTGACTTGTCTGATGTTAATGATAACTGGCACTCAAAAAGGGACTTCCTAAGTTCTAGGCACAGTGCTTTACAAACTTGATCTCTCCTATTTAAGCCTCACAGTAACTTTATGAGGTAGAGCTTGTAGAAATTAATGTTCAAAAGAGTAAGTAGGGCTGGGCACCGTGGCTCATGCCTGTAATTCAGCACTTTGGGAGGCCGAGGTGGGTGGATCACCTGAGGTAAGGAGTTCAAGACCAGCCTGGTCAACATGATGAAACCCTCTCTCTACTAACAATACATAAAATTAGCTGGGTGTGGTGGTAGATGCCTGAGCTTCACTGGGCTGCTGCTCTGTGATAAAAGCCCTGCAATTGAACATTGTAGAAACTGCAAGAATTCCTTTTTTGTTGTTGTTTTTTAGCTCATTGACTATCTGATCACAGAGTCCATTTAGGAGGGTCTATGGAAGAAGCTGCTCTTGAGTTTTAAGGCCAGAGAAAAGTGAATTATCACTGGAGGAATCAAATTGTTTTTAGTGCATAGACACTGTAAAATTTGTAAAAACCAACATCTCTAACCAGGGTGCAGGTTCCTTGAGGGCATGTGCAGGTATGTGTGGAGATTCTAAATTTTTACCTCTTAGAGTTGTTGCAAAACCACCAGGCAAGCCGTATGTGTACATCCTCCCAGTGTCACTAGTCCTGTAAAAAAGGCCATTCAGGCTCTGTTCCCAGGCTCCCCAGGAGTATGCAGATATGTTTGAGAAGCTCAATTATAAAGAATCATATGTCTCACCTTCCCTCCTTACCTCAGTTACTAGGCTGCTCTGGAAGCATGGAGAGCAGACATTTAGAAGCCTGTGGCACACATTTTGTGTACAACAGCCTTACTCCAAGTTTCTTCTTATTTCCTATTTGATCTAGTTTCTATCTTCCCTATTCATAGTTGTGGCAGATTATATTTTCTAAAATTGACAACAATATTTCTGGTCCCACAGTCACCTTCAAAACCTTGCTACCCTCGTCCCCTTGAACTAAGGTGGGTCTTTGTAGCTACCTTGACAAATAGAGTGTGGTGGAAGTGATGCCTTGTTATGAGCAAGGCTAGGTTATAAGATGTGATACAGATTGGTTCCAATTCGTAAGCACACTTTTCCTTATGAATCCCACTAAATGCAGATATCAAACTTGGACACAATACAGGGGGCAGCTATTTGAGGACTCTGAGAAGTAAGAGTAGCAGGCAGATTCAAGAAGAGCAAAATTTAAAATATCATTGAACTGAGGGTGAGTTTATAATTTTCCCCACTGGTTCTTCCACCACTTGGCCCTGGATACTATTATAAAAGTATATGGCAGATTAGGGTAACTAGAGTCCCAGCTTCCTGGATAGAGAACTGAGAAGGGACTCCACAGTGTACTGGAAAAACTAGGGAGATAAAGAAGAGAGAAGAGTTCCAGAAAGCAACTCCGTATAGCTGTTTATAAATTCCTGGACTCACCTTTAAGCTGTACATGTGTGGATCTGACCCAAATTAATATACCAAAGATGTTGAAAGTTGTACTGACTTACAAACCACTGCTTAAGTGGCAGACTGGCCACTGGGTAATGTACATGAAGACCAGATCCAAATATTATTGTAAAGTCTTTAAAAACTGAGCTTACATTAAAACCCTAGTTTACAAAAGACATGTTGGAACTTATAGCCTGAACAGAGAAAGATCAATTGCCTGCTAAAAAAAAGTCAACCTTCTCCATAAGACTTACATAAAACCTGGTGTTTCATAATGTAATATTCAAAATGATCATGATAGTATCCAAAATTGCTTGGCAAATAAACAGCCAGAAAAATCTCAGCTTGCATGAGAAAAGACAATCAACACCTGCAAACACTGAAATAACAAAGATGTCAAAACTATCTGACAAAGTAGCAATAATAAAAATGATCCAATAAGTAATTGTGAATGCTCTTGAAATAAATGAAAAAACAACAAAGCTCAGCAAAAAAGATATAAAAAATCAAGTAGAAATTTTAGAATTGAAAAATGAAATAACTGAAATAAAAAGCTCACCAGATGGGTTCAAAAGTTGAATGAGATTACATGGGAAAGAGTCAGTGACAATGAAAGACATGAACCTACAGATTCAAGAATCTCTGAATCTCAAACAGTTAACCCCCCTTCTAATCATAATCATAATCAAACTGATGAAAACTAGATCAAAGAAAAAAAACCTTTCAATGAGCCAGATTAAAATGTTACATTACCTAAAGGGAACAAACAATTTGAATGTTTGCAAATTTCTTAGCAGAAACCATGGAGGCCAGGAGGAAGTGAGGTGGCATTTTAAAAGTGCTAAAAGAAAAGAAATACCAACCAAGAATTCTACAGTGAGTAAATATATTCTTCATAAATAATGATGACATAAATAGATTCTTAGATGAAGGAAAAGTAGAAGAATTTATTACCAGCAGTCCTGCTCTAAAACGATTATTAAAGGAAATGATAATGGAAAGAAACTGGGAACATGAAAAATAAGAACACCATAAATGGTAAAAACCTGGCAAACATAATAGACTACCTTTCTCCTCTTAAGTTGTTTAAAGTATGTTTAATAATTGAAAGCAAAAATTATAACATTGTCTGGTGGAGTTTTCAATTCATATAGATATATCATGTAAAACAACCATAACAGAAAGGAAGGTGGGTAAAGGGATCTATCAAGTGGTAAGATTTTTTTCTACTTTCTACCTGAAGTGCTAAACTATAGCTTCTATGTAGACTGTATAGAGAAAGATCTTAGCAACAAATAAACAAATTTGTTTATCTGTAGCAACAAATATTTATAGCAACAAATAAACAGAGATATAGTAAAAAAAATTATGGAAAAAATAAGATACTAAATATATTTAAACAGCTTAAAAGAGGGCAGAAAACATGAAAACAAAAAGGGAAAAATCCCAAACAACAAACACAAAAAACAAATCATAAAATGATTACGCCCAAATTCAAACATATCAATAATTACTCTAAGTGTACATGGTCTAAAATCACCAATTACTCATTTATGCCTAGTGTTCTATTATTGGAATGCTCAATGTGTAGGAGTTATCTGTATCCTACTGCTCAAAGTCATCACCAAGGTGTGATTTTTCAAATTCAAAAAAATTGCAGCTTCATGCATAAATGGGTTAAAAGAGAGAATGAAAGAATGGATAAAAAGGCATGACCCAAGTACATACTGTCTACAAGAAACTCACTTCACAGATAATCATGTAGGAGTTGAAAGTAAAAAAGCAGAAAAGGATCTGTCATGCAAACATGAATGAAAAGAAAGCTGAAGTGGCTATATTAATATCAGCAAAGTATCCCTCAGCAATATAAAAATTACTAGAAATAAAGAAAGATATTAGATAATGATCAAAGGATGCATTACTAAGCAGACATAATGATCCTAAATGTATATGCACCAGACAACAGAGCTTCAGAATACATGAAACAAAAACTATTCGAACTGAAAGAAGAAAAAGACAAACTCACAATTATAGTTGGAAACTTTAACACTACTCTTTCAGGAATAAACAGTAGACAGCAAAACATCAGGGATATAGGTGAACTAAAGAACATCATCAATCAACTGGATCTAAATTTATAGATTATTCTACCCATCAATAACAGAATATATTTTATTACAAGTTCACATGAAACACTTATCAAGAAAAACTGTATTTTTGCCCATAAAACAAATTTTACCAAATATAAAACAATTAAAATATAAGATATGTTTTCAAACCATAATACAATTAAACTAAAAATTAGTGTGGAAAGGCAATAGGAAAATATCTAAACAATCTGAAATTAAACGGTTAAGTCCTAAGGAATCCATGGGTCAAAGAAGTCTCAAGGGAAATTAGAAAATATTTTAAACTGAGCAGAAGTGAAAAGACACTATATTAAAATTTTTAGGATGTAGATAAAACAGTGTTTAGGGATAAATTTATTTTATTAAATGATTATATTAGAAAAGAAGAACAGTCTCAAATCAAGAATCTAAGATTGTATCTTAAGAAACTAGAAAAAAAGAACAAATCAAAAACAAGCAGAAAAAGAAAATAAAGAATCAATGAAATAGAAAACAGAAAAATAATAGAGAAAATCAATGGAAGCAAAAGATGATACTTTGGAAATATCCAAAAATGTTAAACTAGGCTGGGCAGAGTGGCTTACCCCTGTAATCCCAATACTTTGAGAGGTCAAGGCAGGAGGATCACTTGAGCCTAGAAGTTTGTGACCAGCCTGGGCAACATAGTGAGATTTTGGATTCTGTCTCTATAAAAAATTTAAAAGAATAATATCCTGGCATTGTGGTGTGCACCTATAGACAGCTGAGGCTGGAGGATTGCTTGAGTCCAGGAGTTCAAGGTTACAGTGAGCACTTTAGCCTTGGCAACAGAGTAAGATCTTGTCTTTAAAAGAAGAAAAAAGTTAAATCAAGATGGGCAAAGATAAAGAGAGTACACAAATTATCACTATAAGAAATGAAAAAGATGTCACTAAATTTCCCATAAATATTAAATTAATAGAGGAAAAACTATAAATAAATCTATGCACATAAATTAAGCAACTTAATATGGACTAATTCCTTGTAAACCACAAACTACCAAAAAAAAAAAAATAGTACTATAACTGAGTAGGTCTAAAACCATCAAAGAAATAAAATTCATAACTAAAAACCTTTCGGGGAAAAAATCTCCAGGCCCAGAGAGTTTAACTGATAATTTTTACAAAATATTTAAAGAAGGTATAACACTAATTATCCAAAATTTCTTTCAAAAATGAAAGAACATTTTGTAACGAAATGTGGAAACCAGCATTACCCTGATAGCACAAGCAGACAGATTACAAGAAAACTACAGAGCAGTATCCCTCATGAATAAAGACAAAGCTTCTCAAATAATCAGTATGAATATGTTAAAAGTACACCAGGCTTTGCAGACGCCACAGCCGCCTGGAGCCTCCTACTATCAGCCATGGTCAACCTCACGGTGTTCTTCGACATTGCCGTGGATGGCGAGCCCTTGGGCCGCGTCTCTTTCGAGCTGTTTGCAGACAAGGTTCCAAAGACAGAAAACTTTCATGCTCTGAGCACTGGAGAGAAAGGATTTGGTTATAAGGGTTCCTGCTTTCACAGAATTATTCCAGGGTTTATGTGTCAGGGTGGTGACTTCACACGCCATAATGGCACTGGTGGCAAGTCCATCTACGGGGAGAAATTTGATGATGAGAATTTCATCCTAAAGCATACAGGTCCCGGCATCTTGTCCATGGCAAATGCTGGACCCCAACACAAACGGTTCCCAGTTTTTCATCTGCACTGTCAGGACTGAGTGGTTGGATGGCAAGCATGTGGTCTTTGGCAAGGTGAAAGAAGGCGTGAGTATTGTGGAGGCCATGGAGCGCTTTGGGTCCAGGAATGGCAAGACCAGCAAGAAGATCACCAGTGCTGACTGTGGACAATTTTAATAAGTTTGACTTGTGTTTTATCTTAACCACCAGACCATTCCTTCTGTAGCTCAGGAGAGCGCCCCTCCACCCTATTTGCTGGCAGTATCCTAAAATCTGTGCTCTCGCTGCAGTTCCCTTTGGGTTCCATGTTTTCCTTGTTCCCTTCCATGCCTAGCTGGATTGCAGAGTTAAGTTTATGATTATGAAATAAAGACTAAATAACAAAAAATAAATAAATAAATAAATAAAAGTACACCATAACTGAGTGAGTTTTATTCAATGTATTTCACCACATTAAGAGGCTAATGAAGAAAAACCACATTATATCAATGGAAGTAGAAAAATCATTTGGCAAAATTTAACACATACCACAATAAAAGCTTTTGACAAACTAGAAACAGAAAGACACTTCCTTAATCAGATAAAGGGCTTCTATAGAAAACGTACATCTATATTTAATGCAGAAAATCTAAATGCTCCTTATCCCAACATTGGGAACAAAGCAAGATGTCTACTCTAACTATTCCTATTCAGCATCATACTAGAAGTCTTAGCTGATGCAATAAGGCAAGAAGAAGAAATGGAAGTCACAGATAGGGAATACAGACATAAAGTGATCTCTGTGTTCAAGCTACCTAAATTTCTGCATAGAAAGCATCCCCACACCCATTGAATCTACAAAACCTCCTAGAACTAATGTAACTTTAGCAAGATTATAGGATATGAGGTCAACACAAAAATAATTGTATTTTGATATTCAATTATCAATGGACCTAACAACAGATAATTACAAACTTAATTTTTAAAAAATGTATCATACGCTTTCTCTCTTCCACTCAAAGATGCAGTACTTAAGTATAAATTCAACAAATCATGTATAGGTTCCATATGCTGAAAACTACAAAATGCTGCTGAAAGAAATAAAAAAGTGATCTAAATAAATAGATATATCACATGTAAGAATTAGAAGATTTCATATAGTAAAGATGCCATTTCTCCCTCAACTCGTCTTTAGAGGTGAAACGATTCCAATCAAAATCCTATCAGAATTTTTTATTAATATAGACAAGCTGATTTTAAAATGTGTGCAGAAAGCAAAAAAAAAAAAAAAAAAAAAAAAAAAAAAACAATAGAATAGTTGAAATACTCTTCAAATAAAAAAAAATGGTATTTAAGCAATCAGGCTACTTGATTTTAAGCCTTACTATAAACTTTCTATAGTAAAGACAGTTTGGTATAGGCAACAGGGTAAACATATAGATTAACAGAACACAATAGAGAGTCCAGAAATAGACTCACACAAATATGGGTCTGGTAATTTTTTTACAAAGGTGAAAAAGCATTTTAATGGAAAAAGAAAAGTTTTTCAACAATGGGGTTGGTACAATTGAACATGCCTATGCACAAAATGAATCTTTACCTAAACTTCACACCTTAATAAAAAAATTAATTCAAAATGGATCATAGACCTTTACATTTTACATAAAATGTAAAGCATAAAACCATAAAACTTTTAACTTTTAAGAGGAAATGTTCATAATGTGCAATAAGGCAAAGAATGTTTAGGCATGACACCAAAAACATAATTCATAGAAGAAAAATTGATAAATGGGACTTCAAAATTAAAAACTTTTGATCTGCTAAAAGCCTTGCTAAGGGAATAAAAAGACAACCTACAGACTGGGAGAAAATACCTTCAAGTCACATACCTTACAAAGGACTTGTATTCAGAATATGTAGACGACTGTTAAAACTCTGCAGTAAAAAAACATTGAATGCAATTAGTAAATGGGTAAAAGACATGAACACACACTTCACCAAAGAGATATACAGATGACAAGCACATAAAAAGATGTTCATTACTAGCTATTAGGGGAATGCAAACTAAAATCATGATAAAATACCCCACATTATCATTAAGTGGCTAAAATAAAAAATATTGACAAAGCAAGTGCTGACAAGGATGTGGAGTAACTGAATCACTGATCCATTGCTAGTGAAAATGCAACATGTTCCAGACACTCTGGAAAACACGTTGGTAGATTCTTCTAAAGTTAAACATATATGTTTCCTATTTTTGTATATTTACCATAGGGAAATTAAAACTTACCTTTGCATTAAAATCTGTACACAAATGTTTGGAGCATTTCTATACATAGTTGCCAAAAACCAAAAACAGTACAAATTTCCTTCAGTGGGCAAATGCATAAACCAACTGTGGTTTAGCCATACAACGGGATACTACTCAACAAAATCAAGGGATGGACTACTGATTGACACACACAGCAACTTGGAGGAACATCAGAGGCATGACACTGAATGAAAGAAGCCAGTCTTAGAAGTTCACATGGTGTGTGATTCATTAATATAACATTTTCAATGGGGACAAGCTGTAGTGATAGGAAACAAACCAGTGGACACCAAGAGTTATGAGTGGAGGAGGCTGTGACTATCAGGAGATAGCAGGAGGGAGTTTTTCGGATGAGGAAACTGTTCTGTGTCCTGATTGTGGTGATGCTCACACAAATCTATGCCTGTGTTAAATTTCATAAAATTGTACACTAAAAAGATCAGTTTTACTGCATGATTTTTTCTTTTTAAAAGAACATTCTGATTTTTTTTTTTCTGCTGCAACTTCTAAGTGGCCATCTTTCTTAGAATGTGCACCTTTGGTGCCATGAGCTCCCAGGTGAGAACACTCCTAGTCTGAAGCCCCGCTGCTGGAGAGACCACCTGGAGAGCCACTCAAAGAGAGACATCTGAAGCTTCCCAGCTGTTCCAGTGCCCATGCGGTCCAGGGTTCCCAGTTCAGCTCTGGCCATGGGAGTGATCTAGCCTTCAGATGATTCCAGCCTTCAGATGATTCCAGCCTCTCTGCAACTACATGAGATACTCTGTGTGAGGACAAACTGGCGGAGTTCCATCAACCCCTGGAACTGATAATAAAATGGTCACTGTTGTTTTAAGGTGTGTCACACATCATAGATAACTAGAAAATTATTATTTAAAAAATCATTATAAGACACCTTAAATTATTTAAGATATGAGGTACAGTGTAAACAATCAAATAAAAAGTAATTTTGGTAATAAGCTGCCTCACTTGGCTTATCCATGGATGGCAATGTCAGGACCTGCCTATAGTTACCACCATAGTCATGTGCCAAAGCAGATGCACTCAGGGACTGTGACATCCCGCCTCCCTATTCCTGCCCTAGCAGGGCTCCGAGCAGGGGCATAGTAAATCCTTGTGCAGAGACTAAAATAGGCTACATCCTTTTTTTATTATTTGTTTAATTATATTTGAGGCAGAGTCTTGCTCTGTCACCCAAGCTGGAGTGCAATGGCGCAATCTCAGCTCACTGCAACCTCCGCCTCCTGGGTTGAAGTGATTCTCCTGCCTCAGCCTCCCATGTAGCTGGGATTACAGGTGCTCGCCACCATGCCCGCCTAATTTTTTCTGTATTTTTAGTAGAGACGGAGTTTTACCATGTTGGCCAGGCTGGTCTTGAACTCCTGACCTCATGATCTGCCCACCTCAGTCTCCCAAAGTGCTGGGATTACAGGCATGAGTTGCCACACCCAGCAAAATAGGCTACATTCTTAAAAAAAAAAGAGAAATGTATATATAATATTTATGCATCCAGACATAGTTATATGTATAATACATTTATATAAGACATACATTTATATATAATATATATACATACATACATATACCCAGACACAGTTATAAGTATAATACATTTATATAACACATATACTTATATACAATACATAGACATACATACAATTACTTATATATATACACATACGTAGTTATATGTATAATACATCTATATAACACATATATTTATGTACTATATTTATACATACATTCATATATCCAGGCACAGTTATGGGTATAATATGTCTATATAACACATATATTTACAGACAATACATATACATGCATACAATTACTTATAGACACATAGTTATACATACAATGCAGCTATATAACACATATACAATATATACATACACACATATATCCAGACACAGCTATGATACATCTATGTAACACAAATATACAATATATACACATACAGACATATGTCCAGACACGGTTATAGGTATGTTTATATAACACACACATATATATATACACAATACATCTACATACATGCAATTACTTATATATGCACATATATATACATATAATTACACCTATATAACATTTATATACAATATATACATACAGACATATATCAGACACAGTTATAGGTATAATACATCTATACAGCACACATATTTATATACAATACATATACATACAATTACATATATACATACATAATTATATGTAGAATATATCTACATAACACATATTAATATGCAATATATATACATACATATGCTTATACATACAAAGTTATATATATAATACATCTATATAATACATTTATATGCAATAAATATACATAAATACACACACACACAGAGTTATACAAGTTCCATGCCTATGGAAGTTACATGTATGTCCACAGGCATGGAGAAGCTAAGACGAAACAGGAGAAGTAGGAAAACTCCAGGGTTAGCCACAGGAAGTCATTACTGCCCCTAGGGCTAAGGAATAACTGGGGCGAAGGCATTTTCAGAGGCCAGGAATCAGGACCACTTGCCAGGAGCCAGTACCTTGGAGGAGATAAGGAAGCCTGGGAAACAGTGCTTGGAGTTTAGTTTCCCGCAGTGCAGAACAGAACAGGGGAGGGGAGGTGGGGTGGGAGAACATACGTTCGCAGTTAGAAAAAGGCCTGGGACTTATTGGGCAACCTAAGGGACAGCTGCTGTGACTGAAGCTGAGGGACTTGCATAAAGTTACACAGCTGGGAATGTCTTTATGATAAGATAAACCAACTAGATAGGATGGAAGAGATACAAAATTCAAGTGCATTTTGGGATTAAATGTGAGCTTCAAAGATTTTTACAGGGTATAAATCCAAATCTGACTGCCTTAAAGGATGACATGCACTTGTATTTCCCACAGATACATTTAAAAGGAAGGGGCCCATGTTTACTAGAATATACAATTCATGGGAACATGGGATTTGTGTGTTTTATTTACTGCTATATCTACAGCACATAGAATGGCACCTGGCCTATAGTAAGTGCTCAATAAAAACGTGTTCAATAAATGAACTACACTTGCTGACATAGTGTTTGTTCTTGGTGTTAATCAGTATGGCTGAG